GGGAATGTAAGATCTGACTGTCTTGCATCTCCATCATTTCCATGGTTTTCTGTTCTAATGAACTGTTTACTGAATAAAGGGTCTCAGGATGCAGTACTTTTGGGAAACAACCAGATGATACCCCTCCTTTTTAAAAAATTCACAACATATGAGAACATGTTAAACCACCTGAGAAACCTTGCAAGTTAAAAAAGCAGTGAATGCTATTTAACTCACCTTTCCCAAAAACATTCAGCTGTAGGTTTCCTTTCTTATAAAAATGGGGCTGAGCCATATGCGAGTGTATTTTTTGTAGCAGTTTCAACTAATGCCTTGTGACCTCTTACTGAATTGGAGTTCACAGAATACACCTTGGGGAACAGATGCCATTGTATGGATTTTTCTTTCTCCCTTAACATCTCTCTGTATTCCCCATCCCAGAGAACTAAAAGTGCCAAATGAGTGATAATAGTACAAATGACCTCTTAATTGGTGGCAAAAATTGTGACAGCTCTACTGTAGAGATGAGCAGACTGGGGACCGGGGAGATGGCTCAGCGGAATAAGCGCTTCCCTGGCAAGCGCAAGGGCCTGAGTTCAATCCCCTGCAAAAACAAAACAAAAAACAAAACAAAACAAAACAAACAAAAAACAGAGATGAGCAGACTGAGGTTTTCTGCGACTTACCTATAGTGAATAGCCTGGGCAAGATCCCAGAAGCAACTTCTTCATAGAGATGAGGACAGGTAACTAAGGATAGGGGAAGATAGCAGAGACACTGAAGCGTGTATGTGGGAGAGAGCGCTTGGAGCGTGGTATGTGGCTTCAGAGCCCGGGTACCATCTGAAAAGGACAAGAGAAGCCATGAGAAGGGAAGGGTAATTCCCAAGGAGGTTAGTGGATATAAAGATTTCACAGTCATCAGCTCGTGTTCTGGGAAATTGTGTGCTTGTTTATTTGTGTTTAAAGAACACAATTTATTTGAAGGTGGGGAAAGGGAGAAGAGAGAGAAATATGGTGGACAGCTACTGTGGACAGGTAGGAAGTATTCAAAAGAATGCCATTTCTGTTTCTGGAATTTGAATCATTCATTCATTCATTCATATATACAGTATGTATCTAGTGTCTATATTTTGCTATATTTCTGAAAACTGTATCGAAACTTGTAAGCATTGAAATGTGTAAGAATGTAAAATTATTAATATGTAAATATAAATAATAACTAAAAACTAATTGCTTATTCAGCGTCAGTGAAAGGGAGACTCTTCTGTGATTAGATGCTTTCTTTCCGGAGAACCCCTGGGAACACCAGAATGCTGAGATGTTTAAAATCCACCAACACAGAGCCACACAGATGGCTGCGCAGAGAAGAGGGCACGTCTCAGGTTTCTCATCTATTGCGTCTGGCCCTGGGAAACTAGGATCTGTCCTTGAGAATCCAGGAAGGGAAGGGTACACCACATCCCTGAGCCCCACTGCTGTGTGCACTGTGAGCATCTTGCTCCTCAGAGACAGACCCGCAGAGCCCCTTGAACCAGCATGTGGGGCAGGATGACGTTGGAACCAGACACGGTTAGATGTACACATGCAAATGGCTGTCGTGAGCGGGAGCTTTTATGCTCACAGATTCCAGAAACAGGAAACATGCCACTCCACACAGGGCCACAGGGACACGCCAGGGCTGCTCAGAAGCAGGTGTGAGGGGAAACACAGGCAAGACCTTTAGTTTGGTTTTCATATGAGAAAATGGGCAAAGAAAGATAAGTGGCATAGACTAGCTCAGGACAGGCTAGGTTGACTAATTTAGGTAGACTCTGATGCTTAGGTAATTGTCTGGCATAATTTGGGTAGGGGATAGTGTGGCAGAAAAGAAGGTGGCCAGCACGTGGGCCTGAACTGCTCCTATGAAAGGCTGTTTTGCAGGAGACTTGTGCAATGCTATCACCAGTAAGCAGCAAGGCTCCACATACCAGAGCAGCAAGAAGACAGAGAAGAAGAAAACAGTGCTCAGACATAACATGAGCCTGGACTTGGCAAAGGGATGCAGAGAGGGAGCATTCTGAGACACAGTGACACTTGGTCCAACTTGGCTGTCCCTTTTCTCTGCTCTTCTTCCCCAAGGGTGAAGCAATCGGAGCTGTTCGACAGGTGGAGAAGCCTCCAGATGTGCAAGTGGGCAATGGACATCTCTGAAGCCAACCAGTTCAAGTACCTATCAGTTCTCCTGTCATTCTTTCTCCTGGGGTGGGTCTCCACCTGACTGTCACCTCTTCAGGTCTTCACCTTCCTGTAAGGCCCAGCTCTTAGTGGCATCTACCCTGGGCCGACCCTGATGGAGCTCAGGAACCTGGGCAGTGGTGAGGCTCTGGCCACAGCAGAGTGAGACAGTGCCTGCAAGCTGCTGTCCTCTGCAGGCCAATGAAGCAGTGCTGCCACCTCCAGAACACATTTGGGGTTCACTGAGCCTGCTAACAGTAAGATATCTGCTCTAGGTCTCCTCACAATCCTCCATGGCCTCTCTGTCCCCACCTTCCTCTCCTGGACAGTGGCTCTGACCCAGCAGCCTCACGTCTTCTCTGGGCCCACACTGGGCATCTGGGCCATGCTGTAGCTTCTTTCCTAATTGCTCTATAACCACAATTCACAGATTCTAAACTCCCAGAGAAGCAATAGCATATGGTAAGGATCTCTTGTGGGAACCAATCAGGTGGGCAACACCTGAACATTCTTTTTCATTAATGATGAGCTTTAGGGTTTCCTCCAGCTCTACAATACTGCAGGGGATTAGTGTGAATAGACCTTATGTTGTGGGATTAGTTGTGATTTATGCTTAAACTGGATTTCAGTAGCTCATTTTCAAGGTTAAGTGTAGTGAGAGCTGTCAGTAAAAAGGAGTCTACACAGGAGATTGTGAGAAGTGAATGTAACCAAGCATTTTATGTTCTTTAGAAGTCATTTTCCCCTGTTGGTGGTAATTCCAGGCCATATCCAGAGGTAGGATGGCATTTTTATGTGTGAACCTGTAGCAAGGATCAGATACCACTGACCAGCGCCTGACACTGTGAGAACCTAGGTATGCAGAGTGGGTTCAGGTGCGGGGAGGGAGGTGACCTCAGGTTTTGCTGTGCTCTAAATGGAAAAACTTTCAAGGCCACTCAGTTGCCTCTCTTTGCTCTCATTTCAAGTTCTTGGAACAGAGATGAGATTCTTCACTCAGGTTGGCAGAAACTGTTGCAGTGCAGGAGGAAGACATGAGCATTTCAGTTACTGGAAAAGAATCCTGTAACAGAGACCTTTCCTACCATGCTGCTTGCGAATTGACGCTTTGGCATTCTAGTTTATACGTCAGTTACTTGTAAGCCTGGTCAGTAAGCATCAGTCTCTCTCAATGGGAGGGAGCTGGGTCAGCTTTCCAGTGGCAGACAAGATTGAGTTTCAGAAAGGAAAGAGACAGTCCTGAAGCCTCACAACTGTTGGGGACAGAGCTGAAATTTGAATCCAGATCTCTAGCCATGAGGCTGCTAATCCTGTCCCAGGGTTCATCCCGGACCTTAGTGGTAGTATTTAAGAATCTCCTCCTCTGCTTTCATTTCTGGTCACTGCAGGACTCTGTTCCCCTGGGCTGCCTGGTTGAGGCTGTAACTGTGCCTGGCACCAGAGTTGGGGAAGGCATCGAGGGAGTGCTTCGCCTGCCTAAGCTTTTGGAGGAGACGCATCCCTGTGGGCTTTGCTTCCAAGATGAGGGAAGCAGTATTTGCACCCTTGGCCAAGTCCAGCACCATCTGTGGCCAGGCTTTAGGCCTCCAGAATAGGGGGGCAGAATGTACCAAGATCTGGCCCTATCACAGAGCTTCCTGGCAGGCCCTGGAGGATGCACTGCCAGGTGGTGCACCTGCTGCCGAGAAGACAGAAGACCAAGCTTCCTGGCTGCAGGTGCCCAGCCAGCCTAACCCCCTCTAACCCCCATAGAGTATTAAAAAAAAAAAGCAACACAACTTTATGTATTTGGTACAGGGTCTCACTATGCAACTCAGACTCATAGTGATCCTCCTATTTTCAGCCTCCCCAGTGCTGGGATTACAGGCATACACCATCATGCCTGGACTCGGTGGTCTTCTCAGTGTCCCATGGATGGGGCTGGCATGGCATGTGGTACTGGGGATCGAATCCACCCCACTGAGTATTTAAAAAAATAAAAAACACACTTACATCAGAATTTCAATCTTCAGTAGCCTAAATATGAAGTAATTTTGAGATTAAAATCACAGTTCTTTTTTTTTGCTTGTTTACATAACAAATCCCCTAAGAACCTCTCAGAACTAGTGTCCCACTTTATGATGGATGCCAGCCAGTATCAAGCCACTAGCCCATTTTCTGACCCTCCTCTATTCCTAAATTGGTTTCTGAATACTTGTAATTGTACATTTCTGCTGACAATGTAGATCTTGGTTTTATGAGCCCATCAGACAAGTTAGGTAACTGGTCTAGGGTCTGCGTGGGGTTGAGGCTTCCCTGGGCTTGCAGCTCAGGCTGGATGAATGAAGTGGAAAGAGCGCATCTCCAGGATGACAACAGGCTCTATGGGAAGCTCCAGTGAAACTTGGCCAATCCTGCTGTCAGTGGGCACCTGGCTACTACAGCATACATGTTACTAGTCCTATGCAGGGTTGGCTGGGGTGGCGTCCCTGCCATTGTAGGCTTCTTTTCAAGTCTGAGAGGGAGATAGCAGGTGATTATGTGGTTCTCAGTCTGTGCTACAGTCCTAAAAACTGATGCAATAATTGGGAACAGGACCAGCAAGGGCTTCTTGGCAGGAACCTGACCTGGGTCCCCAAAGGTCCACATCAGGGAGACAAAAGGCCTGGCCACCAGGAGGTCTGCAAAGTGGGAGAGACAGCAGAGGCAAGGTGTGGGCTGGGAATGAGTATGGGAATCAAGGTAGAAGAGGCCCAATTTATGGCCCCTTTGTTCTTTGTAAGGCTTTGCTCTGCCTGGTGTCACCCATGTCTCCCTGCGTGGCAGGTCCACTCTGTCCCGGTGCTGCAATGCCCCTGCCTTCCTTTTCACCACCCAGAAGAACACGCCACTGGGCACCAAGCTCAAGTATGAGGTGGACACCAGCGGCATCTACCACATCAACCAGGAGATCTTCCGCATGTTCCCCAAGGTGAGTTCTGGGCAGGCCTTCTGGGTGGGTGAGCACCAGGCTGTGGCCCTTGATGGCAGTGCCCCTGTGGTTCTGCATGCAACACACTGCTCTGCGGTGCCCTGGCTCTGCCTGACCGTTGTCGCAGCACAGCAGCTCAGCCACTGGGCTTCCTTGGGGATCCTGTGTGGACATCTGCAATGCCAAGTGGCTACCTGCTGTGTGACTTAGACAAGAAAATATTTAAAGTTCTGCCTACAATATTGCTTACAGAGGGTACTGTGCAGGTAGCAGGGTGTGTAAGTGACATCTGTCCCCCACCTGTGGTAGGCGCAGGAGTAAATGCAGACACGCAAGAAAGTTCAACCCAATCCAAATTGAGGCACTTAGAGGTTAATAGAGGATCTCAGCTGGTCATTTTGTCCATTGACGCTCAGTCTCTTCATCTACAACACTGGGGTTTGGGCCAGGCACTGGTTCAGTTGCTCCTAATAGATCATTTAAGAAGAGACATAAAGAAGAGAGACATTTCTTTTTACCTTTCTCCTGGAAAGTTAGGAAAGGTACAAGCATGGTGGCTCCTTAACTGTGAGGGCCACAATGTGAGGGATCTACATTTGTCACTTTTTCAGACTGATGAGGCTCACCTGAGCTGATTCTGGTATGGCTGCCTGGACCTGACTCTTGGATAAGTGGCCTTAGTAGCTGCCTTTCCGTGGTTTCAGGTGGTTCTGCAAGTGTGGAGGGGTGCAGAGGCAGGTGGCGCGAGGCATGTTCATAACCATATCTGGAAAGCTCCAGGCCTAGGGCAAGATGTTGTGGTCCAGTTTATAGAAATGCAGAATGGAGGTGTATGCTGGTAGAACTGAAACCTGAGAACCTGGGCAGCTCCGTAGCTCAGAGGGTGCAGGGATGCTAACCAAATGCTCTCTTCTCCACTGTTACTAGTTCCCATGTGCACTAGGAAGAGCCAGGCATTCTGATGGCTTCAGGGAAGGACCTGAGGTTGCAGGGTGTTATGGGTCTCTTCCTTTATCATAGTACTTGAGGAGGATGGTATCAAGTCACCTCTATAAAGTAGGTCTTCAAAGCCCAGGAGCATGAGGCTGGTGACAGGTCAGCTTGCATTACGCAGGTCACCCTGGTGTGAAACAGCCTGTCATGATGGATGGGTCCAAGGAGAGCCGGGACACAGACTGCCCAGGCACTGCAAAATTGAGGGCAGCACCAGAATTCTCTGGAGAGCGCAGGGCAGTAAATGGGCTTTGCAGGTCATGATCACTGTCCCAACTACTCACCTCTGTTGTCTCAGCATGAAAGCAGCCATGGACAGCTGGAAACAAATGAAGACCACCACCTTTTAATAACACAAAAATCTGAATTTTATATAATCTTCATATATTACAAAGTATTCTTCTTTGGATTGTGTCTTAGTTCCTTTTTTGTTGCTAGCACAAAAATATCCAAGGCACACAAATTAAAGGAGGGACAGTTTATTTTAGCTCACATAGTCCATAGTCGGCTGGCTCCAAGGCAAGGCAGCATGGTAGACAGGAGTGGCAGAGCAGAAACGTGAAGTGGCAGACAGGAAGCAGCAAGAGCGGGACCAAGGGAGGAGAAGGGGTATAGGCGCACCTTTGCAGCTGTGCCCAGTGACTGCTTCCTTCCTCCAGGGTTCACCTCCCATCATCACACCCAGCTATAAACCCATCCATGGGCTAATCCAGCGTCACACCCAGGAGTGTGTGAGGCTTTGGAGTGGCCTCTGGAGATAAGCTGGAATAGAATTTTTTCCCCAACCATTTAAATATATAAAATACATTCTCAGTTCTGAGTTATTCAAAAACAGGTGGTAGGCCAGATGTGGCCCAAGGACTCTAATTTGCTGGTCCCCAAATTAGAGCATTTGATGTAGGATGACATTTCCCAAACTGCCCTTGAGGTATGTACTCATCTGTGTTCACTGGAAATTCTGCTTTTCAGGCTTCTTTCTGCACTCTGGAGATTTTGATTCCATGGATCTTGACTAGAGCCTGGGAATTGATATGTTCAGATAATTCTTTACAGAAATTCAGGAAACACCCATATAACAGAGCAAGTCTTTGATAGCATTTCCCCTTCATCTGGGAAAAGTCCTAACAGTATAGTTCTCCCCACTGGCTGAGATCCATGTGCTTTTTTGTTCTAGGCTCCTTCCCTGTCTCTTTTTAAAAAAGGGACCACGAGTGTGGACAGTATCCCACAGAGGGCTGCAGCCTCACCTTCAGATCTCATCTGATTCCCGTGAGGCCCTCCCTAGTGGCTGGTCTCATCAGAAGCACAATGCTGGCCACAGCCCTGTCCCAAAGGCCTGTCTGGCTTCTGTGTAAGCTAGGAGACAAGGTTCCTAGTGGGCCCTGGGTGACAGACTTGGGAGAGACCTTCGGAGCCATGGATAGTAACAGTTCTCTTGTCACTCTGCTTATCTGTAGAGTGGAGACCCACCCGCCTCTCACATTCCCTCTGAGGCTGTCTCTTGGGGCCAAGAGCTCACAGAGATGGACATGTTCACAGAGGTGGAAGCCCCGAGAGCGTGGGGTTGGTGCGGCTCTGACCACTGTGCATATCCTCTCCATTCCTCAGGACATGCCCTACTACCGATCTCAGTTTAAGAAGTGTGCAGTGGTGGGCAATGGGGGCATCCTCAAGAACAGCCGCTGTGGACAGGAGATCAATAGTGCTGACTTCGTCTTCCGGTAGGAGAACCACCCAGCCTGCCCCTGCCAACTGCGCCAGCACTCCTCCATCACATGTAACCCCACCCTGTGCCCTAATACTTACCTCCTGCCTTGCCCACCCTCACACTAAGGGGTGTCCCTTTCCAGACCTATTTTTTGGGGTAAAACTGCTGAGCTCTCAGGTCTTCAGTTTCCACATCTGCAGAAGAAAAGCCTGTGGTGAGCAAAAGGCTCTGAAGGCCCTGAGCCCATGGGGCCAACAGATCTAACAGTGGGGTGGGAGGGCACCTCCCTGCCTGAGCTCCACCCCTCACAATTACTTCTGGGAACCAGAACAGCCTTTTGACTTCATTCTGCTTCACATATGCTAACGGTGGCACCTTGTGTTTTTCTTTATGTAGAGCCTCCCTTCCATCTCCATGGATCCTCACTTTTTTTTTAAACCTGGGTAAGGACAATGGGTTGAAGAAAAAGAGTTGAAGGCAAAGATCCTTGAACTGAGCCTGCAGCATATCTCATGGTTTATGGATTCACTGTCCCTGGGCCACTCAGAATTAGTGGTGGGAAACAAAGGTAGAGGAGGTTTAGGATGTCCTAAAAGAAAGGCACCTCCCAGTATGTGGGGTTACTGGACAGGGCAAATAGGGACAGCCTTCTGTCCCTATTAGAAAGAAGCCAGGGACATCTTGCTATGGGCTTAGAAGTAACATTACCATTGTAGATGGGCCGGTGACATGTGTTAGGGACACCTCCCTGGCAGTTGAGCCAGCTGCACACTCCCTGAGCATACCCAAAGAATCTCCCTTGAGGTGAGGAGTTCTCCAACATGACAGTGTTCCCTGAATCTAGTGCTGGGCCTGGCCCAGCCCTTCCAAGGAGGCCAAGGGAGGCCCACTTTTGAAAGATGATCTTTCATTGAGTTGCCTGGATCTCTGGGGTCCAGCTGAACTTCAGCCCAGGCAGGTGGCACAGTGGTATAGCCATAGGATATATCTGAGGCTGGCAGCCTAGGTTTGAATTAGGGACTGTGGCACCTTGTGCTTGTGAGTGACCTAACTACTTTTCCTGTTTTCTGAGACAGGTGGTAAGTGTGACCATACCCTGGGGGTGGTTATATGAGTTAATACTCATTTAGAGTAAGATTTTGAAGCAATGCAGAACATGTACTGTATTAGAAAAAAATACAACTGTTTAACATTGCTCCCATTTTTTAGAATGTGGAACAGTTTTTCTTGGGGTGACAGTCTATGTGGGGATCACATGGCTAAGAAGTACAATCACATATGGAGATGCAGCTCTGGAGGGCCTTTCTCCTGCTATTCCACACCAGGCCTGCAGATCAAGGAAGAACAGTGAACTTCCCTCCAGGGTGCTCTCTGTCTTGCTGCCTTGGACCTGAGGTGGCATCTAGATGTTTGGGGTAGTTTCTGAGGACCCACAGGCCCTTTCACTGTCATCATTATCTTCTCCCAGACAGTGCTGCAGTGGCCAAGACTCACTGAGTCCTCCTGTGCGCACTTGACACGGGGGTCACTGCTATGCTCCACACGATGCTCCTGCTGGATGTATCATGTTGAGAAAGAGTCCTGGGCTTGGGTGCCCCGCTCTGCTTCAACTGTATCACAGCAGCAGCAGTAGCATTTGATCTCTCTAAATGCACAGTTACTCAACAGCAACACAAGAAACCTACCATCTGCCCCCTGAGCTAATTGAGGTTCCCTGTGGTCCTGTGAGAGTTCCTTGCCTGCCACAGGTGTTCAAGAAATGCTGGTTGACCATACACACACACACACACACACACACACACACACTCACACAAATACACACAGGTACATACACACACAGGTACACACACACATGCACACACACATACACATGCATGCATGTGCACTTGCTTGCATCTGTAAGGGGAATACAAACCAGGCTTTCTTCCATCATGGTCTGTTAGGAGAGGTGTGGTTGGATTATAAGGCAAGTGATGGTTTTTGTCTGGTCATAAAGAGCTCTTCTGTGCAATTATTCCTTAGACCCTGGGCTCCTCCTAGATGAAGGCGTCCAGCCCTGCCTTCTTCTCTGCCCTCACTGTTCTGCTGTGCCAGTCCCTCCTGGATGTCTCCTTCTCATCTGCCATAAGGCCTGTACACAGATCTCTAACCAAAATCTTCATGATCTCCAAATTCACCCAGTTAATATCCACTTCTTTTCATAATTCTTTCATTATGTAGCATTTGATGGGATAATATTTGTATCACATCTATATATACAAGCAAATCAATAAAACAAATATCTCTAAACCAACTACATCAAGAGCCAGGCAAGGTGGTGCCTGCCTGCAGTCTCAGCACTCAGGAGGCTGAGGCAGGAAGATTGCCATGAATTCAAGGTCAGCCTGGGCTACATAAGTGAGTTCAAGGCCAGCCCACACAACATAGTGAGACTCTCTCTCAAACAATCAAACAAATAACAAGAACAAAATCCAGAAAACCCCAACTACTTCATTTAAGAAGCAGAGTATTTGTATGGAGCCACTGCACCAACATATGCACTTCCTGGTCCTGCCCACTTCCCCAAAGGTAGTCATCACCTGGAATTTTGTACTTAATACTCCCTCATTGTGAAGAACTCTTATTACATATTGACGTGCCCCACGTACTTTAGTGTTACATTTTGCTGATTTGGAACTTGCTTCCTCCTGCTGCTACCACAAAATCAGTGGCTCAAAACAACAAGTTTTCTCACCTCACAGCTCTGGAGGACGGAAGTTTCAGGCTCCAGTTAGGGTGGTGGCAGGGCTGTGACCATCCTGGAGGCTCTGGGGAGAAGTGGTCTCCTTGCCCAGCCCCTGGATGCTGCCTGCATTCCTTGGATGGGGGGACCCCCTTTAACTCCAGCAGTGTGGCCTCTTCCAGTCTGGCTCTGATTTTGTGGTCATGTGTTTTCTTCTCTCTCCTTCACTGTCACATCACTGTTTCTTACAAAGACCCTTGTGATTACCTTGGACCCAGCTGGATAGTCCTGGCTAATCTCATCCCGGGATCTTCCCATAATTGAGGCTGCAGCATCCCTTCTACCCTGTTTTGTAAGGTCCATATTCACAGGTTCAAAGTAGGGTTTTGTGGACATTGCTGGGGGCTGTGATGCTCCCCATCGTAGAGGCTTTCTACCAGCTGCACTCTTAAGAACTCTGTGACTTGCTTGTCACTTGGCTCTGCAGGTGTAAGGTCCATCCCTGCACATGTGTCCCTCTTAGCTGGTCTAGCTCTTGTTCATGCGCTTCCCTTTCACCTCAGCTTAGGTGTGGCTTCCTCAGAGGAGTCCTCCTGGGCTGTCAGCTGAGGACGTGGTCCCCTGCATCTGTCCTGCTAGGGCCCTCCCTGTCCTCCTGAGGCTCAGGACTGCAGCAGCTGATAACTACACACTTCAGGCTGTTGAATGTGTCTACCCCATGACTGGAACTTTAGCAAAGCAGGGCCTGGGTCTGTTTGCTGTCCCCAGGCCTGACATGCAGCAGCAGAAGCACTGCCTGATTACCTGGCCACAGAGGCCTCACCCAGCCGGCAGCTTCTGTATCCCTCTGCTTGGATGGTCCCCACCCCTGCCTTCCCTGTCCCCCTGCCTGGACACCTGCAGAATGGCTCTGCCTGAATCGGACTACTTGTCTCCTCTGCAGGTGCAACCTGCCCCCCATCTCTGAAAAGTACACCATGGATGTGGGGGTGAAGACAGATGTGGTTACTGTGAACCCCAGCATCATCACAGAGAGGTCAGTGTCCCTCTTTCTGGAGCCATAGGGTCCTGTGTGGCCCACAGTGACATGCAGCCACAGGCACTGGGAATGGGGCTTTTGCTGGCTGTCAATATAAATACATGCAAGGCTTCCAAGACTTACTACAAACAAAGGATGTAACGCTAACTTTTAAAATATTAATTGTAGGTTAAAATGATCATATTTTAAATATTAGATTCAATAAAATATAAAATTTCCATTTCTGAAGTGTGCTTGCTAGAATGTTAAGCATTAAACTTGGGGCTTGCATTTTATTTCTTCTGGACAGTGCTGGTTTAGACTGCTGCTCCCTAGGGATGGGGCAGGAGCCTCCCGGTGTGACAGGGCAGGCATGTCTGCCCTTGTGCATCCAGGTGGCTAGGAGAAGCTTCATGCAAAGGTCTAGCTCCCCACCAGGGGTCTGCAAGGGAGGTCTCAGGGAGGGCAGTATTGAAACCTGACGCTGGGCATAGCCCACGAGGTCAGGTGAAGGGTCCAGGACAGCGGAGAGGAGTGGGGAGGGAAGGCAGGGGAGAGGAGAGAAGGGGAAGGAGGGAAGGGAATGAAGTCGGTGGGCGGGGAGTTAAATCCCATCAGATCCAGAGATACAGCAAAGCCATGTGTGCAGGAGCTTTGTGCCAGAAAAAGTGTGGAGCCAGATCTGGACGCCGAGAGCAGGGAGATGGGACGGGAGGCTGAGCCAGAACAGGCAGCTGGATTGCGGCGCATCACTGGGGCGCCTGGGGAGACAGCGCTTGGGGGCGCCCGTGAGGCCCTAGGGAACGCCTCACTCCCCAACCGCTCTGCTACCCCTCGCATCCTAGTAAATGTAAAGCCTCTCTGGGAAAGACCGTTCTTCATGTTCTGAGGTGCTTGAGGAGGGAGCGGCGCACGTGCCCTAGAGTGCCCCTCCCCTCGGTAGAGCGCCCCAGGGTACAGGGTGCAGGGTGCAGGCGCAGGAATGTTTCAGCCCCTTCTCATTCTCGGCCCTGCATAGGTTCCACAAGCTGGAGAAGTGGCGGCGGCCTTTCTACCGGGTGCTGCAGGTGTATGAGAACGCGTCGGTGCTGCTGCCTGCCTTCTACAACACGCGGAACACTGACGTGTCCATCCGCGTCAAGTACGTGCTGGACGACTTCGACTCGCCGCAGGCCGTCTACTACTTCCACCCGCAGTACCTGGTCAACGTGTCGCGCTACTGGCTCAGCCTGGGGGTGCGCGCCAAGCGCATCAGCACCGGCCTCATCCTGGTCACTGCGGCGCTGGAGCTCTGCGAGGAAGTGCACCTGTTCGGTTTCTGGGCCTTTCCCATGAACCCCTCGGGCCTCTACATCACCCACCACTACTATGACAATGTCAAGCCCCGCCCGGGCTTCCATGCTATGCCCTCAGAAATCTTCAACTTCCTGCACCTGCACAGCCGTGGAATCCTCCGAGTGCACACGGGTACCTGCAGCTGCTGCTGAGGCTGGCGGCTGGGTTGCCCAGATGAACATCTCCTCCTCCGCCTTCTCCTCCTCCGCCTCCGCCTCCTCCCCCGCCTCTTCCTCCTCTCCCTCCCACCCAAACTGGGAGCCTCTAGGTGGGCCCTGGCTGGCAGTGAGGCCCTTGCTCCCTCAGTAGTTCAGCTCCCTGCTCGGCTCCCGGGGCAGGAGGCAGGGATGGAGCCAGCCCAAACTCAAGCTCAATCCTAACCCTCGTGTCCTCCGGCCTGAGCCTCCACCTGTCCACGGGGGCCATGCTTGTGGGCCACGCCCTAGAGCGAGGGAACCTGGGGATTGCAAGTCAATAAAGCACATTTCCGTTCGATTTCAGCTTCCCAGAGCACAAACTGTAGTGGCCTTGTTGCAGCCAAAGACAGGCCCTAGAGAGAATAGAATAGAAGAAAAAAAAAAGGACAGTCAAGAACAGTCTTGAGCACAGTCAAGATTTCTTTCAGACTTCCGGTTCCTGAGTTTCATGCAGAGGCGGAGCCTAGAATCTCAGAGCAGAGGCCAACTGTGGCCAGACCTTCCTGTGAAGACACAGCGGCTCAGAGCACCAAGCAAGGGTCAACCCAGTCCCACCACCCCCACAGGTTCATCAGGTGCATGGTGACATCTAGCCAAGGCCAGTGTTAGCATCTTCCCTGAGACACTGGCAGCTGAAAGCTACGCCTTTACAAACCTCTCCTGAGAATCCCAGGAACAGTCTAGGCGCCTCTGGGTTCCATCTTGCCTTTGATCTTTTGACAAGGAAATAAACCAGCCCAGCCATTTGCACTTCAGGTTCCAAGCCAACATTATCCACTCAATAAGTGCTTAGCAGTTTGCTTCCTCTTCTGTCTCTCTATTTTCAGCTCCATTTTAACCAGAAGTTATTTATAAAGCTCTATTCCTCTTTATGTTCCTGAGTACTGCAGAATCCTGCTGTATGGCGTTCCTGAGTGGGAACCATCAGCCAGAAAGTGCCGGCCGTTATATACAGACTCAGCACATGGAAGCCAGGGGGGCCTCTGACACCAGCATCCTTGAGGCTTCTCTTGGGAAGGCGAGACCCTACAGTACACACCTAGCACCTCCACATGCAAGGACTCCTAAGGCCAGGCTTCTGGAAGTCAGCTGTGCCTAAGCGGAGCAGCCACATGTCACTCACATATGAAGTTCTTTTCCTTTATTTCCCCCTGTGTGTTTCCACCCTGAGTGTGACTGTGCCTCATAGCCACTGTCAGTGAATTGTCTTTGAACTTAGCTTTGTGGAACTGTAGAGTGTTAGTGCTTGGCAGACTTCAGCTCTCTCTCCCTGCCGTTCCTTCCTTTCCTTTCCTTTCCTCCTCTTTCCCTTCTTCCCTTCCTTTTCCCCTTAAAGATATCTGGGAAGCCTGTTCTGCTCTAGTCCATGGTTGGGCTTGGGGAGATATAGCAAGTGGCAAGGATATAGCTCTGCCTCCTAGGGGTGGAGACAGATCATATGCCCTCTGAAGTTCTGCGTGCCATGCCTGCAGCTCCAGGTAGGAGCTGTGAGGATACTGTGAGGGAGGTATCCAGGTACCTTTCTCTTGATCACGCACTTTTACAGGCAAAGCCACAGGTCCAGTAAGAGAGACACAGGAGAACTCTGGTGGCTCTCCAGGCTCCCACTCTGACCCCTTTTTCTGCCAGGCCTCCTTCTCTGAGCTCTTTCGGCACCCAGACTATGTGCATTCTGATTTTCACCAGTGTTTTGAGCTCTGGTTTAGACTAGGTACCCCAGGCTGCCCTGAGCCCCAGTCTGTTGGTCCGTAAAGCAGGAGCAGCCACTGAGACACAGAAGCCCAAACAGTGGGGAGATTGGGGTAGACTCCACAGGACAGTAGATGCCAACTGCTTTCTTGAGGAAGATTCTAGTTGACTAAAATTTCTAGCCACTGTTCAGTTTGTTGAATCCAGTTCTTGAAACTGTAAAATGTCCCATTTAAGGAAACAGACTGGATCAGGGAAGAGACCTGGTCAAGGCATGTCTTGGGCCCTATTGAGTGTGACAGAGTCTCCAAGGACCCTCTGGGGAACAGGTGTGGTTTGGGTGGACAGAGTTGGGGCAGGAGGTTTTGTGAGTCAGAAATCTTGTTCCAGCCAGGGCCTTGTAGAAGCATTGAGACCCATTCCAGATGAGAGCTGGGTACCTAACATGTGGCTATAATTATGCCTGTGGGTTTCATGCAAGTTCCTTCTATCTCTCAGGGTCTCTATTTCTTCATCTCTACAATGAGAGGTTTGGAAAAAAAATCTCTAGAGTCTCTATAATCTCCATTGAAATTTTTAAAAATTTTATTTATTTATTTATTTGGTACAGTGTCTCACTATGCAACTTAGACTCATAGTAATCCTGTGTCATCTTCCCCAGCACTGGGATTACAGGTATGTGCCACCATACCCACTCTCAGTGGCCAGCATGGTGCACCTAAGGTTCTGGGGTCAGCATGGTATGTGGTACCAGGGATCAAACCCAGGTCCTTGTGCTTGCCAGGCAGGTGCTTAGACCGCTGAGTTATCTCCCCAGCCCTATATAATGTTCATTTTTAAAAAGTCATGATGTATGGATGAAAGCCATAACTACTATTACTGTAATAACTAAGATAGAGCATGCTCTGATTATGTGCCCAGCTCTACACTGAGCACTTTCCCTGTGTCATCACCCAGCATCACAAGACCCCTCAGGTAAGGAAGCTCCAGGGCACAGGTGAGGCGGTGCAGTTCAGGGCAACTCAGACACCTGTCCATGATCAGGCACCCAAGAGAAAGTACTGCACTCAGGTCTGTAGAACCCCAGAACTTGACCTCCAAACACCAGTCTTAGTTCCCCAGCTGGCATTTCTAGGGCTGGAACAAGAGGGATCCCAACAGAGATGTCTCCACAGGGTGGTCTGAGGCCCTGCCCTGGGACAGATGCCCTGGGGGAGCTGTCCTGGGTGCTGCAGGCAGCATCTGCTCTGTCCCTCACCAAGCCCTGCCCTCTGCAGCAGTCAGCACTAGCCACTTAGAGGAGCCCCAAAGGGGAGCTGAGACCGACTTCACATGCTTCAGGTGGGAAGAGATGGGTATTATGACCATACCAGTGACTTGCCCAGGGCCACATGGCAGCTAGAGTCTCAGTGAGACTCACTCAGTTGCCTGTCTTTTAGCGCACATCCTTTCTCCTATAGCCAATGTTTATAGGAGAAAAAAATTTTCAAAGGTTCAGAGAGATCTAGGCATTGATTCTGGAAGTCCTCCACATGTTCTGCTGCAGCTTGTCTTCGTTCCCCTGTGAGGCACAGCCTGCCACTTACATTCTTGTTTAGGGGAAATCAATTCCTCTCGAACAAAACAGCTATCATGCCCTCCTTTCTGCTAAACCCACTGCTCCGGGCTTGAAAAGCAGCAAAACACCATTGATGATTTGATGCTTAGCCAAGCAGGAAGGAAGGTGGCTCAAGGTAAGACAAACGATGGGATTGGTTCAGTGCTATGGCGGCAGATCTGCCACTGATTGCCCAGTGCTGCAGGCGGCAGAGAGGATCCTGGCCCTGGACTCTGCTGAGTGTGGGAGGAGGCAGGGACAGCATTTTCTGACAGCAAAGGGAGAGCAGAGTGCTGGTTCCCAGTCCAGAGCAGTGTTCGTTTTGTGCCAAACATTGTTCTGGGGCCAGGGAACAAGTGGTCAGAAGCACAGTCCCAGTGCTCCATTTGCTTAGTCTGGTGTGTGTGTGTATGTGTGTAGATGGCACATGAAGCATGCCACAAACACACCCTGGAGCTCTGAGTGCAGAGGACAGTGAAGTCCTTGCTTGGGACAGTCACCTGGGAGGTAGAGAGGGGAAGGGAGGCTGAGACTATTCTGAATCCTAAGGTTGGCACCATAGAGGTGTCACTGCTGAGGCAGGGTGGATTTCAGGTCTCATCCCCCGGACAGGGGCAGCCTCTTTGTTCTCTGTTGTCTGTGCACTGATCTGTTCTCTCTGAATATTCCTCTTCAGCTCCCTGTGATGCTTCTGTGAAGCTTCCTCAGGGTTCTCTTCTCTTCCTGGGAGCCTCCTCAGAAATCTCATCTACCCCCTGCTCCCAGCATCTCCTGCCCTCTCATCTTGGCACCCAGAGCATGCGCACTGGCACCTCATGCGCATCTGCATCTGCTCCGCAGCTCAGGCCTCAAGCTGCCCTCAACTGCTGCAGTTAAAAGAACAACCTGGGCTCTGTGTCTCCTTCCGTTGCCTAACAGCGAGATGACCTTGGGAAGCCCTCTAAGCTCCTGGGAGCTCTGTTTCATTATCTCAGAAATGAGGGCAGGACTCCAGCCACACTGGTCTTGCAAAGGTTGCAGAGCCAGGCACGGTGGCTTAGATCTCTCATCCCAGCACTCTGGGAGGCTGAGGCAGGAGAGCACGTTTGAGTCCAAGTGGTGCAAGTTAACAACTTCATAAGACCCTGTCTCAAAATATAAAAAAAGGGTTAGGGATGTAGCTCAGGAACTGGGTTCAATCCCCAATTGAAAAAAAAAAAGAAAAAAGTAAAACAACATAGTGTTGTACCCTGGCTAGCACAGTGCCAGCTCTCACTAGATAGCCAATCCTCTCTGTTCTGGTCAATCCTTCCCCTTTTTGCCTTCTATGTTTATTTATTTGCTCAACAAATTTTGTCAAGTCCAATAATAAACATCTCTTGAGTTCACTCCCTGCCTCCCCTCTCACTGCAGTAATGCAGACCCTTCTGAGTGGCCTCTTGCTTTCAGACTTACCATCTGAAATACCTTTCATGGAGCCAGTGCCTGTACCATGACACCCAGGCTCTTTACCAAGTCCTGCAAGCTGGGCCTCCTCCCACCCCTCCAGGCACTGTCCCCTCAATTGATGCCTGGGATGGCTTTATACCCTTCCTGTATGCCTCCTCTTGCCTGGCCACTTTCACAGATGTCAGGTGATGGCCTTTCCTACCCCCTCTCTGGACCTAGGCTGAACCCTCTTTTCTCTGTGCTTCTGCTGTGACCATCACTGGCACCCTCTGAGCGCATAGCATGAGTGTCCTAAGTGTTCCTGTGTCCTTGGTAAAGGGTCTGGCTTTTTCCCCAGGGAAGGCCTGGTATCTAGTTCATTGTGTCCCCGGAACTGGCACAGAGCCACACATTCACTCCAGTAATGAGATATCTGGTGCCTCCTGGGCTCCAGTAGTTTGGGAAGCTCCACTAATAAAATAAGAAACACAGTGAGGAAATCACCAATGGCTGCAGCTAGAGGTTTGTTTGTTGCCTGGGACATTCCAAGAAGGCAGGGAGTCATCTTGTTCATCCTCCACAGGCTTGGGCTGCAAGGGCTGAACTGTCTGTACTGGGGTCCTCTCCAGTCCTGGTCTGTCTTTTTTTAGTTTCCCCCACTATAATCTTATTTATCTTCTTCTTGTTTGCTAAGCAGTCCTCTTTCTCTAGCTCAAGCAGAAGAAGGGACAGACATTTTCTGGTTTTCTTTCTTTCCCTGTCTTCCCACCCTTCAAACTTTACAGCTATATCAGGATCTTACATTTCTGCAGCTGAGGTACAAGGTGGGTTGCGGCATAGAAAGCACTTACCAATAGTGTCTCAAAAACTAGAGGAAAATGCTTTATTGGGGGAGTAGGAAAAGATGAGCTGGGCTTTGCAGAATATCTGCTCCATATGCCCAGACCACGGCCATGAGTGTGGCATCATTCCCTTGTGGGGAGTGGGGGGTGGGGAGTGGATGTACGTTGAGTTCAACATGCCCTTTCCTGTCTCTGAGGCCAGAATTCTCCTCTAGGAAGAGGCTGGTTGTGTCTTGTGGGTTAGGTGAGGCCAGGCTAGGGGTGCAAGATCGGCATGCTGGGCCTTCTGCTCTTCTTGGGAGGTCTGTTCAAACAAGGTCAGGCTGCGGAGGCTAAGTAGTGTACAGCATGTCCTAATGAGGAAGCATGTTCCCCAAAGGTAGGCCCTGCGTTAGAGTCACCTTGGTGCTTGTTAAAACCGTGGACTCAGAATCTGGAGCAAAGTGTGGTGCCTGGTGGTCAGTGTGTGTGATGTCCCCGGTGCAGTTTTGTGTGCACACCTGTTTGTGGTTGAGTAACTACATCTGGCTTGAAATCCAGCCTGGAGTCTTGAGTGGGCAAAGCATGAGAATAAGAATTTTGGCACACAACCCAACTCTGTGTTTTTTATACATATAAAACATAACCTACTATTAACCTAGCAACAAAAATCAAAACTCTAGCAACCTATAACATTTAATAATTCTTTTTGGTTTCATCACTAACAAAAATGTCTGTCTCTTTCTAAAATTATTTATTGTAGTAATATCCACAAAACATAGGAGTTAGCATCTTAAACATTTTGAAGTGTGAAGTATAGCAGTGTTGAGGATGTTCGTATTGTTGTGCAATAGGTCTCCTTTTGCAAACTAAAAAAATTGAACCCATTAATAATGACACATTACTTCTCCCTCCCCAACCTGGCAATCATTTTTTTTCTGTCTCTTTGACTTTTTCTGCTGTAGGTCCCTTGTGTAAATGGAATCTTAAAATATTTTTTAGGTAGGCTTATTTCACTTAATATAGCAGACTAAGCATAAAGAAGCAGAAAGGTGTGAGCTGCTCACAAATGGAACTCTTTTTTTTTGTTTTGTTTTGTTTTGTTTTATATTTTAGGGAAGTGTCTCCAGGG